ATATATAGAGAGAGAGAGAGAGAGAGAGAGAGAGAGAGAGATGATATCATTTGCACAGACAGTGGGAAACCCAAAGTACAATGCAGAACTCATATCAGACTCTTACATATTCTCTTTGGTAACTCTTTGCCAACAACAAAAATTAATTTCTATATAAGTGCCAGCTCAAAAGCTGAACACTAGAAACTAGTCTCCGTTCAACTGCAAAACCTAAGACGACAAAGGTGGAAGTTATCTTTACTGATTCTGACCCGGACCCATCTTCCTTTCTTGTTTTCCTGGAAGAAAATATTTAACTTTAACTTCTTTTAAGTGAATTAACAAATAAAAAATGCAATTAAAGCCACAGCAAAGAAAATGGTCTTGCCTATGATGGGTGAAGAATCATAACGTGGCTTTTGGGATTCACTTAAAACCCACAGAAACTCTTCACTCAGGAAACATACATACTTAGTAGTAGTTCCATGTCTGTCCAGTGCTAAGGGTTTCTTCTTTCTTTCAGTTAGTTTGCTTAGGGTTGCTAATCTGCATTTTCTATGAATGCTTGCTAGTGAAAGTGGAAAAACTCCATGAAAATTATAAAGCAATTGATGAAGTGAGCAGTCCTTTTTGTATCTGTTGTTGGATGAGTGCAATATTAGCCCGTGGCTATACTTTGCCTTGCACGCCTTTGCCTTCCTCTTCTATGCCATGTCCTATTGACCTCCAGACGCCTAGTTGTGCACATAGTAGGTTCTCCACCAATGTGCAATAGACAAAAGCTCTAGTTTCTCAATAATCCAAGTAAACTACTGACAAGGGCCAGCAGTGCTGTTTCTCAACTCCTTACCTTTCTTTGGTTAACACAAACTGTACATCTTTCCTAAAATTCTAAGGGATTTTTAGCTTGGGTTACATGCAAGGACACAAAGACATCTGTAAAACTCCTGAAATGACTTACACATTTGTGTATGTATGTGTTTGTATGCACTTTTTCTGGGCCATGGAGTCCATAGCTTTCATTACCTTCCTGAAGTGGTCTGTGACCTTAAAAGGCTGCACACCACCTCTAGAGTGGTACAGCTCCTGGTTCCTTCTTTTCCCCACCATCATATTTGCCCTCAACTCAAACCAAAACCATACTCATGAAGATTGAGTCAGTTTTGACTCATAGTGACCCCCACTGGGTTTCTGAGGATGTAAATCTTCATGGAAGCAGGTTTACCTTTTGCAGACCGGCTGGTGGGTTTGAACAACCAACCTTCTGGTTAGCAGTCAAATGCTTTAGGTGCTGCACCACCAAAGCTCCTTTGCCCTCAGCTACTAACCTAAAAGTTAATGGCTGAACCCTCCAGCAGTCCTGCAGAAGAAAGGCCTGCTGATGTGCTTCCATGAAGGTTACAGCCAAGAAAACCCTGTGCAGCAGGTCTACTCTGTAACACATGGGACCTCCACGAGTTGGAGTCAACTCAATGTAGTGGGTTTGGCTTTTTGTGTTTTTCCTTCCCTAAACAGTGGTCAGGTTCCTGTCCCCTCCTAGCCAAGCAAAGCCGGAACACATTAGACAAAAGTGTACACTTTACCTTTGTCTGCATTTTTAATCTACTTGTAGATTCCTTAGTGAACTGTCTGAGTCTCTCTCTCTTCAGAGCAAACTGAAAGATATAGTGAAGTCTCATGGCAGGCTTTTGTTTGGCTTCTTACCCATCAGCAAATGGCTCCCAGGTATCATCAGCAGCCTTTTTGAACACTCTTACAGCCACGTTGATGGCGGGACGGCCCCGGACAGCATCCATGACTTTGACCATCAGAGGACATTTGGTTTCACTAGTGCCCTGCGCAGAGAGAAGATGGATGAGAAGTCAACAAAACTGGAAAGAGTGAAAGGATTTATTCTTTAGGTTTTTTGAAATCTGGAATGAGGCAGGAAGTACATGCTGATCCCATTTCCAGCAACGTAAGTGTTGGCAACTAATGAACTTCTCTACTCAGTGTTACACAGACATAATTGTTTCCAAAGCATAATGATTTCTGCCTCAGAACACGCTGCTATTGCTCTGGGATGTGCATAATGAATTACAAGAGAGAAAATAGGTCCTAGAGAACAGTTGCTTTGTTAAGCATCTCCATTTGAGTGGAGTTACTAAAAAGATGTAATATGCCATTGGACCAAACAGTTTTTCCTGAGAACGTTTTAGTCAGTTATTGCTGCAGTAATTTCTTCTTAGTTTTGTTGCAATTAAGTGCTGTGCAGTTTGTTTTGACTCATAGCAACCCCATGTCTCAGAGTAGAGCTACCTCATAGGATTTTTTTTTTTTTTGGCTGTAATATTTACAGAAGGAGTCCTGTTGGCTCAGTTGTTAAAGGTCAGCAGTTAGTATCCCCCCAACCACTCTGTGGGAGAAAGATGTGGCAGTCTGCTTCTGTAAAGATTTACTGCCTTGGAAACCGTATGGGACATTCTATTCTGTTCTACAGGGGCTCTATGAGTCTGAGTCGACTCAATGGCAATTTTTGTTTTGTTTTGTTTTGTTTTTAAAGGAATCATTATAGAAGTAGATTGCCAGTTCTTTCTCCTGCAAAGCAACTGGGTGAGTTTGAACCTCCAATCTTTTGATTAGCAACTAAGCACTTAACTGTTTGCACAAAAAGGGCTTCTTTTCCTCATGCTAATTGTAAAATAATGTCAGATTACTTCATGACCCAGTTAATAGTATTAGTTAATTCTTTTGAATGACTTAAGAATTAGACCTCTGACTATAATGTTGTTCTCCAAGCATTTCAAAGATCAATTGGTCAATACATTTTGATTAGTTAGAGGGTCAGAATATAATCTCATGTGGTTTGGCACAAAAATAAATGTTATAAAAGGATACTTCTCCAAAAATTCAATATGAGTTTCTAGGTTAATATCCTATTTCTGCGTCTATCATCTACTCAAGGATTTGGGACACTGGGCATCACAAAGGGTGGTACAAACGGTTAAAGTGTTTGGCTGCTAACAAAAGAGCTGGCAGTTTGAGTCCACCCAGAGGCATCTCAAGGACTTGGTGATCTCCTTCTGAAAAATCAGCCGCTGAAAACCCTGTAGAGCTCATTTCTGCTGACGCACACGCAATGGGTCCGAGTTGACTCGACAGCAGTTGGTTAAAGCATTGCAAAGTCAATGCACTGAAGCAGTGGCGGAGAGCTCCAGGAGTCCAGGTCCAGTTCAGTCAGCTCTGCAGACATTCATTTTTTTTTTTTTTTCTGGCTTGAATCAATGATATTTATAAATAGATACTGAGTAGCCTTGCCCCTAGTAACAAAAGCTGGTTGGCAAAACTTAAAGAAGTCACTTCTGCTTCATCCAGCAGACACATGGAACTTATGGAAGGAACTGTACAGAACTGAATACTCACCACAAGGCCAGCTTCTGACACAAATACCAGTCCAGCCAGGCAAAGGAGGAGCAGGCGATGAGAAGCCATTCTGCCAAGAACTAGCGGACTTCTGTGACTGCTGCTCTCAGCTCGGGCCTTTTATATTGACTTCTTCCAAGCCAGGCTACTTATCCCTGCCAATCTGACTCCAAACCTGCTGATTCTGATTATTGACTTAGTCAACAAAGGGAGAATAAGTAACCCACACAAATACGAACCTTGCCTAGAGAGATTATTTAAGCATCGGAACATTAGCTTTATGAAATAGTCTTAACAGGTCATTTGACCAGCTAGATCACCAAAACAAAGGAATCAAAACAAAATAACATATTCTTCTCCCTGCTTGGTTGGATATAGTGACATTCTTGGGATCTTTTTCTTCCTTATCTATTTCTATGCATGTTCTCCGCTTCATATAATTTTGACTTTAATCTTAGATGATGGATGCAAGTTGTAGTAATTTATTTCATGTTTAGTGATATTTGGCTGTACTAGCTTAACTTTAATGCATTAGAAAACACAACTGCATTTGACATATGTACATGAGTCAACAGAGGAACACCTTTGGTAGTGCCTAAATTTTAAAAAGTGTATGTTTTAGTTAAAGTAAGCCATCTGGAAGCTTTGATTAGTTAGCTATTTCTTCACATTTTTGAGTATGTGTGTGTATGTTCTTCTCAGACAAGTTTCATCCTAATGTGAGGAATAATGTCATAATTAAAACTGGCAGGAATGATCCTGAAGTAAAGACAATCAGATTTTCTTTACTGTTTCTCCTGCATTTGGGCTTGCAGAAACAAATCTATCCAGCTGGCTTTTGTTAGAAGCAAAATTTCTGGAAGGAAGTAAAGGTGACTATGAGAACTAGAAGCCATGATTGACAACAGATTCTTTTACTCTTTTACATACAAGTCTAGAATTTGTAATAATTTCATGATTCACTGATCAAGCATCAACTTTCGTGTGTGTGTATGAGAATGTGTGTATGGCTTTATTCAAAACCCACTGCCTTCGAGTGAATTCTGACTCATAGCAATCCTACAGGACAAAGTAGAATCACCCTATGGGGTTTCTAAGGCCATAAATCTTTACAGACTTAAATAATGACTACATCTTTCCCCTGTGGAGCAGCTGGTAGGTTTGAACCTCTGACAGTGGTTAAATACTTTAACCACTGTGCCACCAGATTTCCTTAATTAAGACAGTTTTTCTTTTTTTTTGTCCTTATAGAAACAATTATGTAGAAGACATAGAGAACGAAGGCAAAATGTTAGATAAATACATGTTAGTTAGAGGATATACTCCATGATATATGGAATGGTGGGAGCTCTGGTAGCATAGTGGCTAATGCACTTGACTGCTAACCAGAAGGCTGGTGGTTCAAACGTGTCAGCCATTCCTCGGAAGGAAGATGGGGCAATCTACTTCCGTAGTGATATTGCCTCAGAAACCCAAGGAGGGGTCTCTATGAGTCGGGTCTGACTCGACGGCACTTACAAACAACAACAACAATAGGGAATTTTAGAAGGAATGTTAAGTATTCCAGGAATATGAAAATGTGTAGCGAAAGACTTGGGAAAGAGGGCAGAATCCAGAAAGCAACAATGCTTTCAGTTGAGAGCATAGCTAGGAATGGAGTCGTAGTCCAAGAGTGTTACTATGAAGTAGAACTAGACAGAGCTTTGAATTTGGAATGAGATGAGCTGAGTCACCAATTCCTAGTTCTGCTCAGTTTCCTAGATGACCCTCTGTAAGTTACTCAGTATTTCAGATACTCAGCTAATACATCTGTAAAGTAGAAATATCTACTTTTCTGCTTCAAAGGACTGTTCTAATAACTTTAAACATGAGATGATATAAAAGCACTTTGTAAGCTGTAAAACACTAATTAGCTATAAAGGACGTTCCTGTTCCTGGCAGCCCTCCTGCTCCCCCTTTCAAATTCCGCCTTCCTCCCATCTCTGTGCCTCCCCAGCCCCCCAGCTTCCCTGCTCGTGGCGACTCAACGCATAATGGAACAAAATTCTGCCCAGTCCTGGGCCATCCTCATGATAGATTGCACATCGGACTTTGGTGATCCATAGGGTTTTCAAAGGCTGATGTTTTCAGAAGTCCATCGCTAGGCCTTCTTCTGAAGTGCCTCTGGGTAGACAAAACTTTCCAAACTTTCAGTTAGCATTAACTGTTTGCACCACTAAGAACTCTGGTGGCACAGTGCCTAAAGCATTTGACTGCTAACCAGAAGGCTGATGGTTCAAACCCACCAGCCACTCCTCAGAAGGAAGGTTGGGCAATCTACTTCCGTAGTGATATCGCCTCGACAACCCAAGGAGGGGTCGCTATGAGTCGGGTCCGACTCCACGGCAGTGTGTTTGGTTTTTGGTTTTGATTTGCACCACTCAGGGACACCTTTTTGGTAGCCCTGGGCATTCATTTGTTCTCCGTGATCCTCACATGGCATCTGTCTTCTCCAGTATGTACTTGTCTCTGTGTCTAATTAGCTCTTTTTTTTTTTTTTTATAACTCAGAAGGACTGGGTTTAGGACCTACATTGCTCATGACCTTGCTAACATAACAAAGAAAAACCTTTTTCCAAACAGGATTACATAGGTGTAGGGTATAGGATACAGGGCATAGGGTAGGATTTCAACACATATTTGGGTGGACACCATTCAATCTATAATAAAAGAAAATATGGAAGTCTAGTCTTATCCCTGATAAACCTCATCCTGTTAGTTTAACCCACCACTCAGCCTTCTGAAATCATTTAATAGTTGATTCTGTAATTCACTGCATTAGCTCATCCTCCCAACCTCATGTCCTTTGTGACCTTGACATCCATGCCTTCTGAACCATCTTTGATCTGAAAATTATTAATAAAATTTTAATTTGAATAAGACAAGGAGGTGGGGAGAAAGTGAGGCAATTCAGAGTACAGCCAGGATCCTGAATCTGATTGGAGAATCAGCCATAAACTTTACAGAGATGATTTTTTTTTTTTTCATTATAAAAGGAAGAGAAAATTTTGGCTGAACACTCAAGCAAATGTGGCAAGTTTGGAGTAAAAATAAGATAGCTCAAGGAGAAGAAGTTTGCAGTGTTTTAGTTAAGAGAAGAAAGAACAAGGCTGAGGCAGGAAGGAAAAATTGAAAAAGAGACAGGGAATGCTGTGTTTTCCTAAGTATTGGTAATTCTTGTGTGGAGCGAGTGGCAATATTAAATACAAAAAAAAAAAAAAACCAAACCCATGTTTCTTGCCTGGGAGGCAATGTGTGGTGAATGAAGGTTAAGAATGTAGGTTAATGCAGATAAACACAGGTTGCCAGAGATAAGAGGATCTGCCTTTTCTATGTTTCTTTGAATCTGTTGAAAGCCTGTTTTAAAAAGATCTTGGCTTGAGAACCACCAAGCAGAATGAATGAAGATCAAGGATCACTACATTCCTGGAGTCCTAAATGGTTGCTGTAATATTGTGTGTTCTAGCACACAATAAGCAGCAGTAAGAATCCAGTGTTACAAGACAAAAGAGTGTTCATGTGACATTTAAGCTATAAGATTATGTCTTTTCTTAGCCCTATACTATTTTTTTTTCTTCACATTCTGACTGTGGAGCTATAGCCTGGATGTTTAATTGAAGTGACAAAGATTAATATGATGACAATATTTCTCCTCTTAATACAGAATATGTGGTGGTTAATAACTCAGGCCTGCTCTTAGGTTCAGCTTATTTCTTCTCCCTTCTAATAGACAGGCTTATTATTAATTTTATTTTTTTATATCATAGATAAATCCTTTCTTCTTCATTTATTTTCTAGGTCCACATCAACTGGTAGCCAATATCTGTTGACATTCAAACATGCACTAATATTATTGCGGATAAGCTGATTAGACAGAGTTAGGAGTTGGCTGGCCAAATATTTGGACTGGGCCTCATGCGGGAAGGGTGGCAGGGTTGATGGTGTTTTTAGGCCCTGGGTCTTTGCAGACTAAGGAATTCAATTTTGTCAGCTCACCTTGAACGGAATAAGCCCTAGAGGTTTGATTAATGGTAATCAAATTATAAAAGACTCATTTAAAATCCATAATGCCAATTTAATTAATCATCAGATGGTTGCTGGGTGAGCAAAGAACTCGGGCAAAGGGGCTTGGTTAATTTTTTAAGAATATTTCATTCAGACTACTGGAGCACCTAGAAAGAAAAGTTTCCTTAATTCTGTGTAGAATACACTTTTTTAATGCCTGGATTGTTTGTGTCTACCTGTTCCAGCATGTCTTTCCTGCAAGAATTGTTGACTAAACACTGAAAAACCCTTTTTCTTTATCTGTCCTTCTTTCATTGTCCACATAGACATCATCTCCGTAAAGACAAACATTAGCTAGGAGATGTAAACTAGGTATTTTTCAGGATTACTTTTGTATATAATTTTTTTTCCATTTGTTTAATTTAATAGTGGCATTTCAATATAATTTATTAATGTTGTAATCTCTTCCTTTTTTTTTCTCACTGCTGTCGAGTTGGATCTGACTCACAGTGACCTCTCTTTGGCTTTCTGAGGCAGTATTACTACAGAAGTAGATTGCCCAACCTTCCTTCTGGGGAGTGCTATGTAATTTTTTTCCCAATTATTGTGGCAAAATACATGTAATGAAGAATTTATCCTTTTAACTATTTTAAAGTGTACAATTCTGTGTTGTTAAGTATATTCACAATGTGTGTAACCATCACCATTATCCATTTCCAAGGTTTCCCATTATTCTCAACATACATTGTACCCATTAAAAAAGAATGTTCATTTTCCCCTACCCCCCCCCAGACCCTAGCAGTCTCTATTCTACTTTGTTTCTATAATTTTGCCTATTCCTGATAACCTCGTATAAGTGGGATCATACAATATTTGTTTTTTGTATCTGGCTTGTTTCACTCAGCATAATGTTTTCAAGCATCCATGTCATAGCATATGTCAGAACTTCATCCATTTTATGGCTGAGTAATATTCCTTTGTATGAGTTGAATTGTGTCCCCCCAGAATATGTGTTTTAATCCTAACCTCTACCCCTGAGGTTCCAGTGGGGAAGGGGTTGTCTTCATTATGTTAATGAATCAGGATTAATGTAGGGTGTGTATTGCGAGTCAATCTCTTTCAAAGTATAAAACCAAAAAACCAAATCCACTGCTCTTGAGTT